GTGGCCCCCAACTAGTGATGCACCGAACGGTTCGCTGGCGAACAGTTCCTGGCGAACATAGCGTGTTCGCGTCCACCGCGGACGGCGAGCACATGCGCGGTTCGATCCGCCCCCTATTCGTCATCATTGAGTAAACTTTGACCCTGTACCTCACAGTCAGCAGACACATTCCAGCCAATTAGCAGCACACCCTCCCTAGTAGACCCTCCCACCTACTGGACAGCATCCATTTTAGATTCATTCTCAAGCTGCATGCTTAGTGAGAGGAGGGAAAGTGTAGCTGCTGTTGATTAGATAGGGAAATGCATAGCTAGGTTAGGGTATACAGTGTCCACTACAGTCCTGAAGAACTCATCTGATCACTGCTGTAAGGACAGCACCCCAAAAAGCCCTTTTTAGGGCTAGAACATCAGTCTGTTTTTTTTTTTCTGTGTAATGTAGTTGCAGTTAGTTGTCTGCCACTGCTGCCAGCTTGTGTCAGGCTCACAGTGGATACTGTGCCCATTTGCCCAGTCAGTGCCCTCACTCACTGGTGTCACAATAGCTTGCATTTAAAAACAAAAAACTTTTTTCACTGTTATAGATTGAATAGCAGTCAGTGTCCTTAAAGCGGGTGTATCAGGCTCACAATGGATACTGTGCCCATTTGCCCAGTGCCACGACTCATATGTGGTGTCACAATAGCTTAAGCTTGACATTTAAAAAGAAAAAAAAATGTGTTTCACTGTAATAGATTGAATAGCAGCTAGTTGTCTGCAAGCGTCTGGGTGTCAGGCCTCCTTCAGCGTGTGCTCTGCAGACCTCTGCCCGTGTACTTTGCCACTCATATCTGGTGTCACAATAGCGTGCATTTAAAACCAAAAATCTTTTTTTCACTGTTATAGATTGAATAGCAGTTAGTTGTCTCAAAGCGGGTGTGTCAGCCCTACAGCGTGTACTCTGCCAGTTCACAGTGCCACTCATATCTGGTGTCACAATAGCTTGCATTAAAAAACAAAAAACTTTTTTCACTGATATAGATTGAATAGCAGTTAGTTGTCTGCCAGCGGGTGTGTCAGGCTCACAGTGGATACTGTGCCCAGTGCCACCACTCACTGGTACCCGGACGAAATTTCTTTTCACAAAAGGCAATCCCCAACTTGTACTCAATTGTGCAAAAGGAAATAATGGCATGTCTGGCACACAGTGTTGGGGCAAGGGTCCATCTGACCACTGATACCTGGTCTGCAAAGCATGGTCAGGGCAGGTATATCACCTACACTGCGCATTGGGCAAACCTGCTGACGGCTGCCAAGCATGGAATGCGTGGCTCTGCAGAGGAGTTGGTGACACCGCCATGACTTGCAGGCAGGCCTGCTGCCACCTCCTCTACTCCTCCTACTCCATCCTCTTCCATAACCTCCTCGGCTGAGTCCTCTTCTGCTGCTGCGTCTTGCTCCACATCAACGGATAGGGGACGTAACAGGGATTAAACTGATAAGAATAGTACTACTTAACACACCACTCCTATCTGGTGGCACATTAGATTGCACGCGCAGTGCCCCAAATTTGTTGTGATCTGTGAGTAAGGTAAACGGTTGTCCATACAAGTAAGGTTGCAGCTTTTTGAGGGCCCACACCACCGCCAGGCACTCCTTTTCAATGGCAGTGTATCTACTTCCCTGGGCAAAAGTTTCCGGCTTAGATAAGCCCCGGGTTGCTCGCCGCCATCTGCTCCGACTTGGCTCAGTACTGCTCCCAATCCAAACATAGAAGCGTCTGTATGGACGAGAAAGCGTTTAGTTGGATCAGGAGCAGAAAGTACAGGTGATTTAATGAGCGCCGTCTTGAGCTGTTGGAAGGCCTGTTCACACTCTGGGGCCCATACTACTATCTTGGGGAGGTTTTTACACGTTCCTATATGGCACTTACTGGGCTTTAGGGTCAGTCCGGCCTCCCTAATCCGGTCTAGTATGGCTCCTATGTGGGTCAGGTGTTAGGGCCAGGAGCAGCTAAAAATGGCTATATCATCCAAGTAGGCGCAGGCATACTCCTGAAACCCATCCAGTAGCCGATCTACCATCTTCTGAAAGTTAGCCGGGGCATTCTTCATCCCGAATGGCATGGCCTTAAACTGATACAGGCCAAACGAGGTGACAAATGCCGACTTGTGGATGGCGTCCTCGGCTAATGGAATTTGCCAGTACCCCTTGCACAGATCTCTTGTGGTGAGGTACTGGCCTCTGGCCATTTTGTCTAGGAGCTCGTCTATCCGGGTCATAGGGTAGGCGTCTGAGGTTGTTTTATCGTTTAGCCTCCGGTAGTCTACACAGAAACGGGTCGTGCCATCCCGTTTCGGTACTAGTACTACCGGGGAGGCCCAGGGGCTGTCAGAGTGTTCTATCACCACTAACTGCATCATTTCCTCAATTTCTTTCTGAATATTTTCTTTAACTGCTTTGAGTATGCGATAGGCGGTTTGGCGAAGGGGGGTCTGGTCTAGGGTTTCAACTTTGTGAGTGGTTAATGGACTGTACCCAGGTAGGTTGGAAAACGTGGCCCCCTTGTTCTGGATTAGTCTTTGGACCTGGGTTCGCTCCTGGTGGTCTAACCGTTCTCCTAACTGTACTTCTCCCAGATCTCCACTCTGGCCCTCTAGGTCTAGGAGATCTGGGAGTGGCAAATTATCATAATCTTCAGTGGCAGATGCACAGATCGCGGTTACCTCTTCCGTGCGCTCGTGGTATGGCTTGAGCATGTTCACATGGAGCATGCGCTTGCCTCCCGTGCCTGTGACCGCACCGATCGCAAAGGTGGTATCACAAACCTGCTCTACCACCTTGTATGGGCCCTGCCAGGAAGCCTGCAGCTTGTCCTTGTGGACAGTGTCAATCCATATCTGCCAATTGACCCTATGTAGGGGGAACAGTCTCTATTCTGCTCTCTGTCAGTGTGTATCATGGTCTCTGAGGACAGGTGTCAATCTATATCTGCCAAGTGACCCTATGTAGGGGGAACAGTCCCTATTCTGCTCTGTGTCAGTGTTTATCAGGGATCCTTAGGATAGGTGTCAATCCATAACTGCCAAGTGACCATATGTAGGGGGAACAGTCCCTATTCTACTCTCTGTCAGTGTGTATCAGGGGCTCTGAGGACAGGTGTCAATCCATATCTGCCAAGTGTAGGGGGAACAGTCCCTATTCTGCTCTGTGTGAGGAGGAGGAATGGGAAATGAGTAGCTCGGCATCCAACCTTGTGCAAATGGGGTCTTTCATGCTGTCGTGCCTGTTGAGGGACCCTTGTATAAAAAGGCTGAAGGAGAACAACCTGTGCTGGGTGTCCACGCTACTAGACCCCCGGTATAAGCAGACAGTGGCGGAAATGTTACCGAATTACAAGTCGGAAAGGATGCAGCATTTGCAAAATAAATTAAAAAGTATGCTTTACACAGCGTATAAGGGTGATGTCACAGCACAATGGGAATCTAACAGGGGAAGAGGTGAAAGTCATCCTCCTCCTCCCACGACCACGCCATATCTGCCAAGTGACCCTATGTAGGATGAACAGTCCCTATTCTGCTCTGTCAGTGTGTATCAGGGATCCTTAGGACAGGTGTCAATCCATATCTGCCAAGTGACTCTATGTAGGGGGAACAGTCTCTATTCTGCTCTGTGTCAGTGTGTATCATGGTCTCTGAGGACAGGTGTCAATCCATATGTCAGGTGTCAATCCATATTCATTGTGATTTAGGAATGTTAGGTGATTTCTGCCCTTTATGGATTAAAACCAGACTCTGCATCGACTGTGTAATTTTCCATGGGAGTTTTGCCATGGATCCCCCTCCGGCATGCCACAGTCCAGGTGTTAGTCCTCTTGAAACAACTTTTCCATCACTATTGTGGCCAGAAAGAGTCCCTGTGTGTATTAAAATTTGCCTGCCCATTGAAGTCTATGGCGGTTCGCGAACATTTGCGGAAGTTCGCGTTCGCTGTTCGCGAACCGAAAATTTTGTGTTTGCGACATCACTACCCCCAACACTACAGAAAGCAGATGCATATCTTGCATACCATATTATCATTACAGCCTTAACAACTATAAGTAGAGGCTGGCTAAAAAACACATCCCCTAGCATACAACAATGCATAGAGATGGTTGACATTACCAAACAATATGAACAAGCAGCAAGAGGAGCATGAACAGCTAAAAATTTCTGGCCCTTAGCATGGAATAAATGGGAAGCATGGAAACAACAAATCAGATATACTCCTAAGACCTCACAGGTTGAACGCAACGCAACATAGGCTAATAATGAATTCCTATCTATCACAATATGAACACACTGTTTTGTTAAGATACATTCCTAATGGATAAGACTGAAGCTACCCCCCCCTCCCTACTCCCCCACCACTAGTTCTAATTCCTCTCCCCTCCCCCAATATACCACTTCTAGTTCCTAGGCTAAGTTGAAATGCAAGCGATAAAATGCGCTGCATGTACCACCACTAAATGGGTAAACCACAATACCTGAAATTCAATACGAAACTTCAAATAACTGTCTTATACTAAATATGGACAAAGGCTGACCACAACCAATACCATCGGCTATCTAGAGATAGATATAGTGCATAATACAATATGTCACAAAATGAAATGTAACCAATGTAAGAAAATGTAATGTATGCTTACTTGAATAGACCTGGTGATATGCGCATATTGTTAAACAAATTTGTCCTGGAACATTCCCACTTCCCTTTTTTTTCCTTCAGTACCCCCATGTTATTTATGCTTCTATATTGACAAAATAATAAAAATTCTCAAATAAAAAAAAATAAAAAAAAAATGGGTCGGGGGAAATCATCCGCATACAACAAATACATCCCCAATCCTGAGAAAGAAATAAGATTGGCTTTCTGTGAAATGTCTAAATAATGATCTGATGAAAATATGTATCTGACTTGTAAGAATTGCTTCTTATATTTTTGCCCTCTTTTACAGGTCTAACCTCACCTCAGTTTCGGCACACCTCAACTGACTTTGCACTTACTACTATTGCTTCTTTATTATTGTTTCATACATCCTCGGTAGGTGCCGTACACAAATAGAAGGCTTGGCCTGTAATTGTGTGAGGCACTATCATCCTTATTTAAACCAAGTGAGCCCCTGCTTACCTGTCGTCGACGATCTCGGAAGTGACCCTCCCACCGCACCCTCTATTTATACCTAGGTGGGCCCTCTTTTACAGGTCTAACCTCACATCAGTTTCGGCACACCTCAACTGACTTTGCTCTTACTACTATTGCTTCATACGTCCTTGAAGTGTGCCGTACAATATATATATATATATATATATATATATATATATTAAAGCAACTTTAAAAACACTATACATTGATGAGCGGGTGTAACCAGGGAGTGGCACTATGAAGATATATACAGTATCTCACAAAAGTGAGTACACCACTAACATTTTTGTAAAAAAAAAAAAAAGTTTATAACTTTTTATGTGACAACACTGAAGAAATGACACTTCTCCAAAGTAAAGTAGTAAGTGTACAGCCTGTATAACAGTGTAAATTTTCTGTCCCCTCAAAATAACAACACACAGCCATTAATGCCTAAAGCATTGGTAACAAAAGTGAGTAAACCCCTAAGTGGAAATATCCAAATTGGGCCCAAAGTGTCAATATTTTGTGTGGCCACCATTATTTTCCAGCACAGCCTTAACCCTCATAGGCATGGAGTTCACTAGAGCTTCACACATTGTCACTGGAGTCCTCTTCCACTCCTCCATGACAACATCACGGAGCTGGTGGATGTTAGAGACCTTGCGCTAACCCACCTTCTGTTTGAGGGTGCCCCACAGATGCTCAATAGGGTTTAGGTCTGGAGACATGCTTGTCCAGTCCATCACCTTTACCTTCAGCTTCATTAGTAAGGCAGTGGTTGTCTTGGAGGTGTGTTTGGGGTCGTTATGTTGGAATACTGCCCTGCAGCCCAGTCTCCAAAGGGAGGGGATCATGCTCTGCTTCAGTATGTCACAGTACATGTTGGCATTCATGGTTCCCTCAATGAACGGTAGCTCCCCAGTGCCGGCAGCACTCATGCAGGCCCATACCATGACCACAGGACATGGTTCCAGTAATACATGTCCTTAGTCTGCTTGTCTTCAGCAAAATCTTTGTGGGCTTTCTTGTGCATCATCTTTAGAAGAGGCTTCCTTCTGGGATGACAGCCATGCAGACCAATTTGATGCAGTGTGCGGCATATGGGCTGAGCACTGACAGGCTGACCCCCCACCCCTTCAGCCTCTGCAGCAATGCTGGCAGCACTCATACATCTATTTCCCAAAGACAACCTCTGGATATAATGCTGAGCACGTGCTCTCAACTCATTTGGTTGACCATGGCGGAGCCTGTTCTGAGTGGAACCTGCCCTGGGAAACCGCTGTATGGTCTTGCCCACCATGCTGCAGCTCAGTTTCAGGGTCTTGGCAATCTTCTTATGGCATAGACCATCTGTATGTAGAGCAACATTTCTTTTTTTTTGCAGATCCTCAGAGAGTTCTTTGCCATGAGGTGCCATGTTGAACTTCCAGGGACCAGTATACGATAGTGTGAGAGTGTTAACAGCAAATTTAATACACCTGCTCCCCATACACACCTGAGACCTTGTAATACTAACGAGTCACATGACACCTGGAAGGGAAAATGGCTAACTGGGCCCAATTTGTACATTTTTGTTGCCAACGGTTTAGACATTAATGGTTGTTTGTTGAGTTATTTTAGAGGACAGCAAATTTACACTGTTATACAGGCTGTACACTTACTACTTTAAATTGTAGCAGAGTGTAATTTCTTCAGTATTGTCACATGAAAAAATATAAAATATTTCCAAAAATGTGAGGAGTGTACTCACTTTTGTGAGATACTGTATACCTTTCCAGCCTATCTCCTCCAACTCCTCCCAAATCTGTATATGAATGTGAGTGTGTGTGCATATGAATGTGTGTGTTTTGATTAACGTGTGTGTAAATTTGTGTGTATATTTGTGTGAATGTGTGTATGCATATATGTGTGTGCACGTAATTTTCAACAAAAGACATTTCAAAAAACGTGTGATTTTCTTTTTTAAGATCTTTATATTTTATTTATTTACTTTGGAATGCTGCACATTGTAAGCCTAGCCTACCATTATCACATGTACAGATTTACAATATTCTGCAAGATGTTCCAGGTTTTTGTATGCAGATGAATATTGCTGTTGACTTTCAACCTGTCAGCTTATAGATTTTTGATTAAATATTATTAGAGTGGTTTGGATATTATCCCAGTACAGGTTGTGCTTACAGACGTATTTTGCATTTTATAATTCAGAAAATCTTCCCATAACCACATTAATCATTTACGAGATGCAAGTATTTAAAGGAACATGCATCACGTTGAAGCAAGTGTTTCAACTGATTCACTGTGCAAGCTGAAAAAAAAAAAAAAACAGGTAAATATGAAGTTTTTTTTTTCAGATTTACCTGCTTATGCTCTCCACACCCATTTCAGGGGTACCCAGATCTAACCAAGAGGTATGCAGCCTGTGGCACTCCAGCTGTTGTGGACCATTTCGCCTATAATACTCCTACAGCCATAATGCTGGCAAAGCATCAGTGGAGATGTAGTCATCTGGAGTGCAGAAGGTTGCATACCCCTGTTCTAACCAGTGTCATATACTTATGCACGCTGGAAAAGTTCATTGGGGATGCCTGACCGATTTACACATGTGTAGTTAGAAGCTCTCTTCCTCTTGTAATACAGGTGAAGAAGAAATGGAATCTGATCAGTGTGATCATACAGAGTCTGGTGTCGGGTATCTCTCTCATGCTGCTGCTCATATCTCTGTTATTAGTGGACTGGTTTGAGACTGAGATGGGTGGGTTGGAGGGAGGCTGAAGAAACTCCCTAGCTGAGATGCATGCCCAGTAATGCAATCTGATAAACTTTCTAGTAAGTTTCTTAACCCCTTAAGGACTGGACTGTTTTTGCGATGTTGTACATTTGCGACCAGGCATATTTTTACACTTTTGTGGTGTTTGTGTTTGGCTGGAATTTTCCGCTCTCTCATTTACTGTTACCA